AAACCTGTATATAATCCTTGACGCGCCCCCCTTGCATCAGCCGGGGTCGGCGGACAAGTACAAGAAAGACCCACAAGGCTGCAAAAGCCAAACTTTTTTCCCCTGGCGCGCTCCCCTTGCTTGGCCGGGGTCGGCGGACATAGAGTCTTGCCACAGACCTCACAACAAACTGCAACCTCCTGGGCAAGGAAGATATGTGTTGCATATTTTTGATCCTTATGTAACCTCCTGGGCAAGGAAGATATGTGTTGCATATTTTTGATCCTTATGTATCTGACGTAGATTTCGGAGACAATCATGCAAACCAGGTCTTTCCAATAACTGCTGCATCCCATCGAGCCTGTGTCAGCTCATGGTGGACCTTCTTGTAGCACTGTAGCAATGGCTGGACAATATCACGTAATTCAGCCTTCTTTGAGCCTAAATAATGTTTATTGAACTGGCCAAAAAATATGCAGAGAGTAAAAAGAAACACATTGTTCCTGTACCTTGTTCGCTCAAGCCCCGACGTTTGCTCATGGAATAAAGAAGGCAAACCAAATGAGGATAGATGTGCGAAACCCTTGAGGCCTGCACATGACGAATACAAGATTTGCATCATGTGAGTGCATATGTGTCTAGGGTCAACTCTTTAACTAATGCATCAAGCAGGAGTGTCTTCAATGGACGCTAAAACTGCAAAGAACATTTTGTGGGCTTATGTTGAGGTCCCACCAAAAGACCAACCAGCAAGTTGACATGACAGTGGCCAAGCATGCAAAATCTGTCAGAAATGGACCTATCGTTGAATTCCTCTGGCAGGAAGTGGCCTCGAACCTTGTCGGCTCGATGCCATTGCATCTCCTTGGCACATGAGATGGGAAATGTATAGACTATGGAGGTTAACAAATCAGAATTCAGAATCATTTGATATGCTAATAAGACCTGATTGGTAGGCGGATTGATTGTTACCAATATGAGCAGTCTATGCAGAACATGTTGAACAGGGCCGCAAGTACAGCATGCAACCATTGCCAACATATCCTTTGCTGCAACTCAATGTTTGGTCAAAAACAACCTGATGCGCATGATGCTCGGTAGACTCTGTATCATCAAGAAGCGTACCGGTTCCAGATGGGTCTAGATGGGTCCAGTTGGGTCCGATATGGCCCGAGGCCTGGTGTTGAAAAGGAGGCGCACGATGCTTACCGAGTAGGCCTAAATGCTCAAACTTCTGGAGATTTGCAAATGGCAGTGAGGTCGACACTTGGCAGAAGAGAGGAGAAAAGTATAGAAATGTGAAGTGATGTGTAATTTGTCTATGTAGTTGGTGCGTGAAGTCTTATACTTATGAAGGTGTTTTCCACCGGTGCTGGCTGCTGAGCTGAAGTTTTGTCGGCAACACTGTTGTGAAATGTGAAGGAAATCGCTTAAAGTAGCCAAGCGAGGAACTGATAGCTACTCTCAGAACTTTCTTGGCCTTGCCTCCTTCCTCTTGATTTGACTCATGTATTACATGTATCCTTGTGTCTTGTTGAAGGTGCGGCAGTTGTGTCTCAGTTGTGTCTCAGGAAATGTTCCAGAAGCATCGGTTTCAAGAGTTTGACTTGATTTCAAAGCTGCTTTCACGGTTGAACATGTTTAAGCACAAGCGTTGTTTACTGATAGATTGGAAAGCTGGAAATACACCATCAGATCAATGCAAAACCTTGTTTCGAGCCTTTGTGACAAGTACAACAATTAATTCCCAAGTTCGATGGCAACTGATTACCAAGAAGATGTGGAGCTGGTATCAGGTCGGTCGCAAGCAAAAAACGTCTCCATTCCCTGGCCCGATCCTATTTTTCTACAGCCCAGATTTCCCACTTGATGTTTGTTCCAGTTCGTTCCCATGCTCCCAATCGGAGCTTTGCATATTCAACGCCTCGAGGCTCATACGTAGAAAACTTGAAGATTCTGAGTTCTCAACGATTGACATCGACATTGCATTCTTGAAGTCATCTTTCAGGGTTTGGGCCTCACCAGAATCACTACTGTATTCTTTGCTGAGGATTAGATTGTGAAGTTTCGCAGACATGTCTAGCCTACAGCTTTGTGCAAGGTATGCCCAGGCTTTGCGTTTGGAGTCAGATCCATACGATCGTTGCTTGTCGTTCATGGCGTTTGACAGCATAGCATGGTTCGAACAATGAGACAACCGGTATATTTTTGTAGCTGTCCAAACATGTCCGAACAACTTTCACGTCTTTACGAAGTTGAAATGTCAAAGCAAAAACTGTTGGTTGACATGCACCATGAAGTTTCCTTCGAAAAACTTGTGAGTATTTATATTTGAGTTTGCCTCAGATTACGCTTTTCAAAGTACAATTTGGATCAATTTGGGTGAATGGCGTTTACAGTGGCTTGAAGCGGCTTGCAGTTTAGGGGGATCGGGCGTGGTGACGCGTTGTGTCTTAGCTTTGCGCCCTGACCCATGGACATCCCATGGGCGCCAAGCTGCCTTGCAAGGCGCAAGGCTTTGCAAGGCGCATCCAAAACACTACAAGACATGACGAATCATAACGAATCATGACAAATCATGACGCAAGACATGACGAACCAGCATATCTTTGTATCCAAAGAATTTCAAAGAATCCTGGAATATCTTTGAATTTCCTACAGCATGTTCTGGTGCAACTGAAGTGCTCGAACGCTAAGGCAGCTACATCCTCTATAATCTGGGCCTTTGCTTTGCAGAGAACGGAGAGTATTCCAAGGCTGCAAAGTACTATCTCATGGCAGTTGTACCTCGATGCGATTGCCAAAGAGAAACTGTTGAGAGTGTCACCTTTTCAGAACAAACACTTAGAAATGTCCGCTCACTTTTTAAGGAGTTGTTCTATACTTGTTCTTGTTCTCCTCCAAGATGTGGTTCTTGCAGAGTGTCTCAATGTCTGCATTGTTCCAGAGACTATGCAGACTGCTTGGGGCATCTTTTAATACCAAGGATCAGAATTACGAATTGTGCTCTGCTTGGAACAACTTAGGGGTCCTTTTCCACGTGCCTTATCCGCAGCAAATCATTTCTGGGAGGTATCTGGTATGACGGAAACTTACACTCCATTCATTGGACTTGTACTTCAATTTAGTTGATCAGAGCAGCGCCAGTTACAGATGTGGTTTCTGCAAGTAGCAGAACATGTGTTTGAGACAGCAGTGTGTGCGCGCGCCTCTGACTATTGACTATTTGTTCCCAAGCGACTGGAATATCTTTACTATACTGGTGTGTTTGCCTGAGGGCGCCAGAGGCTCTAGCCCGAACATGAAGTGTGAATAAGAATTATCGAAGGAAGTTTAGAAGTTAAACTTCGGACAATATGGACAGATGAAAAAACAGAGGTGCGAAGAGCCAGACGGGAGCAGAGTCAGAGGGGAGAAAAGTCAGAAGAGAAAAGATCAGAAGAAAGAAGATGCAGGTGTGCGAAAAGGTAGGAAAGTCGCGAAACACTGTGTTTTTTCAATGTTTTGTGGCTCCGGAGGGTCGAAAAGTAGGCTCGCTAAAGCGGCGGGTGCGGAGACATCTGGGGAGATGAGAAATGAAAAGTTGCACGCCGTTGTGGCGCGAAGCAGATTTTTAAGTGCAAAGGTACAAAACACCTGGGTCTCGGAGCACTTTTGGAAGTTGAGATGTCGAAAAAGTGCACGCCGTTGTGGCACGAAGCACGTTTCGACGTGAAAATGTACAAAGCACACCATTCTCGGACCACTTTTGGAAGTTGAGATGTCGAAAAAGTGCACGCCGTTGTGGCGCGAAGCACATTTCGAAGTGAAAATGCACAAAGCACCTCAATGTCGGACCACTTTTGGAAGTTGAGATGTCGAAAAAGTGCGCGCCGTTGTGGCACGAAGCACATTTCGAAGTCAAAATGTTAAAACCACCAGGGGTTCGGACCACTTTTCGAGGTTCAGATGTCGAAAAAGTGCACGCCGTTGTGGCGTGAAGCACATTTCGAAGTCAACATGTTAAAGACACCAGGGGTTCGGACCACTTTTGGAGGTTCAGATGTCGCTTCGCCTGGCAGGCGCAGGGGATTGTGCACCTTGTCAAAAGTGAGCAAAACGTGAGGGTTTTGTGGCATTTTCAACTACAACCACGACTACACCACACTACACTCCAAACACTCAATTACACCCAATTACACTCAATTACACTACACTACACTACATTACACTACACTACACTACACTACATTACACAACACTACACTACCTTCCACTACACTACCTTACACTACACTACATTACACTACACTACACTCCGCTACACTGCGCTACATTACACAACACGACACTACCTTCCACTACACTACACTACATTACACTACACTCCACAACACTACAGCTACAACTACACAACTACACTCCACTACACTCCACTGCACTCCACTACACCCCACTACACTAAATTACACTCCACTACACTAAATTACACTACACTACACTACATTACACTACACTACACTCCGCTACACTGCGCTACATTACACAACACGACCCTACCTTCCACTACACTACACTAAATTACACTACACTCCACTACACTCCACTACACTAAATTACACTACACATTACATTACACTACACTACACAACATTACACTACACTACACTACACTGCGTTACACTACACTACATTACACTGAATGACACTGCACCACAGATAGACAGGTAGACAGATAGATAGATAGACAGATAGACAGGTAGACAGCTAGACAGATAGACAGATGAAAGAAAGAGAGAGAGAGAGATAGAGAGATAGAGAGAGAGAGACATAGAGAGAGAGAGAGATAGATTGATAGATAGATAGATAGATAGGTAGATAGATAGATAGAAAGATAGATAGATAGGGAGTTAGATAGACAGACAGACAGATAGATAGGTAGACAGATAGATCAGTAGGTAGGTAGGTAGATAATCAGAGAAAGATAGAGAAACAGAGAGAAAAAGAGAGAAAGAGAAAAAAGAGAGATAGAGAAAAAAGAGAGATAGAGAGAGAGATCAAGCACCTTTCAGTCCATCAGTGGCTTCGCCCTGCCATCCCAGAGTCACAACAACCAACCTCTCCTATAGGTTTCCTATTTTTGAAACTTCCGCCACCGCCTTGTGCGGTACTACTGGTATAATTGTTGAACTTGGTGACAGTTGGTAGTGGTGATGAGGGTGCCAAAGTGTGTATGGGAAGCAGTAAAGGGGTGTGGGAGTGTGAGAGTGGCAGGCAGTGTGCTGTGAGCTATCCTGTAAGGCAAAATGCATGCAGACAGAGCTTTTGTTCAGGACATATCATAGACTTGTGGGGCAAATTGCGCTCCATCGCGGGTGCCTATCCGAGATCCTAAAACATTCTTACTATACATTCCCATACCGTATCCCGAGCCTACTAGATAGCATGATACGGTTTGATACGTCTTACCAAAGCACAAGGCCGCAGGGCCGCATGGGCGAGACCGAGGCACAGGGGATGAAGGCTGAACGGGATTTCCGATCTGAGCGAGCCGATGCGCTCTTCGCAAAAGCCGCTGAGTCACTTTGCTCGACTCGACTGGCGTTGGCGCAAATCTTGTCATATCTTGTCATGGTTTTCCTACAGAGTTTTGCATGTACATGCTTGTATAGTTGTACAGGCTTGGACTGAATCCAAAGTCTTCCACTTTTGGTTTGTCTCCACCTCAGGTATTGGAACCGGGCAGCGAGCTGTTCCCCAGGCACATATCAAGATGCTGAACGCTGGCTTCTTCAGACAGGACGTGCGAGCGGCGATTGGACTCTTGGAAAGCCTGTGATGTGTCCTCCAAACAAGGGTCCAATTCGCGTTCTTTGTGTTCGCATTGTTCTTCGTGTTCTTAAATCTGTGTGCAAAGATTCTTGCTACTTGCCATATCTTCCAGTTGCATGTTTCACAAGAAGAAATGCCGAACCGTTTCACAAACAAGAATCCTCACCTTCAATCGCACTACTGCATGCTGATGAGGCAAAGTGACATGCTGTCTGCTGCTGGATTCAGATGAGCCTGCTTACGAGCTGTGTTTCAAAGCATCCTAGTCCCACCAGAGACCAAAGCAGTTTCGTGCACGTGAGTTTTGTTCCAGCCATCCATCACCTCTGCTTTTGGATCTGAATGATATGCCATTTGTTCGGCGCATGTGTTCATTTCCATCAAAACTTCTTTGGTTGAGTGGGTGGCCAAAATGTCTTCCGGGTGGAGTTTTCCTCGAGATAAGAAAGGAACCATAAGAGTGACTTTTCCTTTCATAGAGATATCGGAAAAAATTACATACTTCACCTCGCAAGGGTAGGATGAGAGGCAGAAACTTCTGCATTCCCCAGTAGAATTTTCCGGACATGGCGTCCGAGACCACCAGCACAGAGGCATAAAAAAGTAACCGGATGCTTTCCACTCTAGTTCCGGTGAGGCCAAGGCCTCGGGATCTGTCCCTTTCATTTTGAGACCATCTGTTTAGCATTCAACATCGCATTCTAGAATGTTCAAGATCAGACAGACAGCGGGTGCCATTCCTAGAAGCTTCGTGTTTGTCGAGCACCGGTTTGAAGCTTCAGCCCACGCCTACTGCTTGAGGCGAGTGAATGACACAGCGGTCATTGTGCGGCGTCAGGCGACAAAGATTCTCAGTGCTTTTGTGCCTTGGCAGATTAAGGGGAAGATATGGAACAATAGACAAAGGTCCACAGGTTGGGAGGTATGCTTCGGCATTGCGCAGAAGCTTCTACCAAGTGAGCAATAAACACTTTATATATATATATATATCTCTCTCTCTCTCTTTTAAATATATTGAAATTGACTGAGACAAACTTGCAAAAGGACCGGGTTGAATTGTGCGATGTTGTTCCTTATCATTGATGGACCTGGCTCAGCATCGTTCAAGCAGTTTCAGTGCTCGGATCAAAAAGTTGGGCCCAAAGGTACTGAACCACCCGGACCATCCTGATGTGATACCGGTTACCTTGGACCTACTTCGGCGCTCCACAGACTCTGAAGCGCTGTTTGGGACCTCGGAAGAGCTTCAGCTCGGGGTATTTTTGGGGCTGGTGTTCTGGAACCGTGGAAGCACAGGACCTGAAGTTCGAACAGCACAGGAAGAATGAATTCTCTACAATATCTGAATCTTGTAAAGCTACAGATTGAGAATGGCCATCTATCGACAGCTTTAGGCTGCTGTAATGCAAAGGCTGGGTTCACCATACAAGGAAGCGGTGACATTGCATGAGTCCAATTTTCTTCCTTTGGGCAAAGCATGGCGGTGTAGCAGTAGCTTCCAAAGATATATATGTATATATATATAAATGATGATAAAGATGCATTCCAAATTCTCTGGACCGACAAAACCTTGGCAGAGTTTCCCTCGCTGACAAGGTCCAAAGATCATACGTGAATCCTACAAACACCACAGGCTTCACAGAGACCCCAGACTTCTTTAATTTAGAACATTGTCTAAGCGACACAAAGCCTCAGGCGGAACTTGGTGATGGGCACATTTGAGTTGCTTTGGTTCATGGACGATGAACCCACACCAGAGGCCACTCCGCCTTGTTGGAATACAACTACATTTCAAGCTGGCTCAGCCGGCTCAGCAAAGTTATGGTCAAAGACCGTCGAGCTGGTCCCAGGCAAGAATACAACTCCAAGACAGAGCAGATATATATATATATATATATATACAGGATATATATATATATACGTGAATCGCAGAATCGCACAGACAATAGGAACATCATGAACATGTTTGATATTTCATTGATATTCCAAACGAATTCGTTCCTTATCGCTGATTCCTGCAAGGCCCCCCAAATTCTGTAGACATTGAGTTTCTTGGCTGCTTGCGGGCAAAATCTGGAAGTCAAACCATTTTTGCTTTGGCATCTGGGTTTATAGATTCTAGAATCAGAAGAATTCTTTCAAACACAGAAACCGTGTGTTTTCCTTAGTGCCCCACGCGTTTCAGCTGTGATTTTGTTTTTGCAAGGCTGCCAAGCAGCTGTCTCGAGTGGTAGATGCCTCCAGAAGTATGGCAGTAAAAAGCTCAATACAGGAAACAGACGCAGTGCAGGGTGTGCTGTGACTCTTTTTGAGGCACTGTGTTACGGCTCGCCATCTCTCCCTTTGTTTTTCTACTGTCACTCAGTCTTACTCCATCTCACAACGAACTCCAACAGTAGCGAGTATGAAATTTTGCAGGCAGAGATCTTCTCGGGAAAAAAATGTCCAAAGTTCCTATGGGGATGCATCTACGACTTGAATCACCACAAAGCCCGTCTTTCTCAGGATTTTAGAGTTGAGAAACAAATCACATGTAACTTACATAATCGTAGAGCAACTCTTCGAAGTAGTTGCTTCAGCTCCCACCAAGTAAAGGCGTGAGATTCAAACTTTCTTGGTGAAGCGCCAGCTCTGGGTTTTTCCCTTTTGGTTGTATCTTAAGGGTAGACACACGCGTACAATGGATTCAGTGCAAAGATGTGCAAAGGTTTGTCATGTATCCAAGCAAGCAAATGAAGGAATCAAGGAAAGGAAAGAAGGAAGAAAGAAACCAAATCCAAGTGAATTCATGCATGTAGATACTACATAGTACTTGTTGCACAATGCATGCATAGTGGTTACGTAGTGAATTGTGTGCGTAGTCCATGCTTGATTGCATCAAGTTCCCCACACAACTGGTCAAATACATGCAGAGTGAAGATGAGTCCTTCTGAGGCTGCTGTGGGCGACATCCTTCTCGAACTCTTGCGGCGCTTCAGAAAGACGATCGGCGTGACACTCAAGCTGGGGGCAACATGGGGTCAACAAGTTGATCTTAGTCGATCTTGGGTAAAGCTCCGTTCCTTCACAAGATACAGTTTAAGTTTAAGGTGGGTTTTGAACGCAGCAAGTGGACCCATATAAACTTTGTCAGCCGCTCATCCATAGATTCCTGCACAGAATGCAGTCAGTATGAATATGGTCTTCAGCAGCTGGAGGAAGATGGAAACAACCTGAAGCAAGCAAGGTCAAAAAAACACTCACGCAAAGTGTGTCAACTGTAGAGACCCAGCAAAAATACACCCAGCAGAGCAGTGGCGAAACTTTGCCGGTGAATGCCAGGTGCACTTAGCCCTTTAAAAGGCTTGAGCAGAGCAGCTATGCATTAGTTTCCGTGAGGCTCGAGGAAGAACTCCAAAGGCTATGAATTTGCTATTCGTCGCTGGACAACGCTGATTCTCAATGAATTTGTGCAGCTGAAGTCTGGCTCCAAGCCGTGGGAAATGAATTTGGGTATTTTGGGTGACTGGCTGGTGTCTTTCATATTCTTTCATGACTGAGTCTCGTTTGCGTATCCATACATGCACTGCATTGGATTCCATCGCATCACATGGCATAGCGTTGCATTGCAAAGGATAGCAACAACGCATACTAGTAGCATAGCATAGCGAAACATGACACACCATGACACAATTTACCGCACATTACAGTACATTGCATTACATTACCGCACGTTGCGCTACCTTACCGTACGTTTCATTACATTACGCTTCATTGGGTTGCAGGACATACCACACCATACAACAACATACAACAACATACAATAACATACAATAACAGACAATAACATGCAATAACATACAATAACATACAATAACATACAACAAGATACATTGACATAGAACGACATACAATAACATACAATACAATAACAACATACCATTGCAATCCATTGCATACCAAAATATACGGCGACATAACACAAAATATTCTTAAAACAGCATGACATAACATAGCATAACATATCGTAGAGCTTCGCACACCGGCGATGCCATAAGGGCTATGTATAGTAGTGTGAGGGTTGGTGTTGTTCATGTGCTCTGCGCGTGCGCGCAGGTGCAGAGCACAGTGTGATGTTCTTGTCATACTGCAGCTTGTAACCATCTTACCACACATGTTTTTGTGGCATTTTTATGCGTGTTCTTCTTCTTCTTGTTGTTCTTGTTGTTCTTGCTGTTCTTGTTGTTCTTGCTGTTCTTGTTGTCCTTGTTCTTGTTCTTGTTCTTGTTCTTGTTGTTGTTCTTCTTGTTGTTGCTGTTGTTGTTGTTGCTGTTCTTGTTGCTGTTCTTGTTGCTGTTCTTGTTCTTGTTGTTGTTGTCGTTGTCATTGTCGTTGTCGTTGTCGTTGTTGTTGTTGTTGTTTGTTGTTTGCTGTTTGGTGTTTGTTGTTTGTTGTTTGTTGTTTGTTGTTTGTTGTTGGTTGTTGGTTGTTGGTTGTTGGTGGTTGGTCGTTGGTCGTTGGTCGTTGGTCGTTGGTCGTTGGTTGTTGGTTGTTTGTTGTTGTTGTTGTTGGATGGTTGGTTGGTTGGTTGGTTGGTTGGTTGGTTGGTTGGTTGGTTCGTTGGTTCGTTCGTTGGTTGGTTGGTTGGTTGGTTGGTTGGTAAGACTTCCGGGATGTGGCAAAAGCTGCCAGACCCAATATTATTTTTTAGTGTTTTTCTAGTGGTTTTGGAGCGCTTCAGATTAGTGGTGTATAAGAGGGTTTCCTGGAGGTGGGAGAATGGGAGTGGGCAGGGGAAAAGTAACCAGCAAAATTGTCAACTGTGGAGTGGCTTGAGACTTTTTTTCATAAGAATGCTGTCCTTTTGTGGAATCTCCTTTGAAGAGCCACTGCTTGAACCATTTTAGTTTGAAGCCTAAGCTACTAGTCACTAGTCACTACTATATAGTCCCTGACACCCCTCAACACCAACATCTTTCGCTCTCAACGGCTTGGCGAAATCCACGACAGCAATTTCAAGTTTTCGATCAAATCAAGCAAGCAAACCAAACGGAAAGGCAAACAATGAATATTGTTATAATATATAGTGACTACATATAATATAGTGTAAATCGTATTGTGAGAATCATATATCGTATATATATATATGTATATATTACATTGTACATACTTTGGAAATACTGTACCGTTCCTCTCTAACAGGGCCCGCAAAGACATAGAGGAATAGCACCATCAATCAGGTACAGAGATACCAAAATAAGTTGAATTGAACAGACAGATTTTCTTCCACCAACTGAAACCAGACAACTCAAATTTACAATCTACAAGTTGCTT